TCCCTACCACCACGAGTGTGATCATACTAGTCAAGAACTTTTATCATTTCTGTCGAATATGCAGAAGTTAGTGACGGGAGAAGTGTCAGTGTGTTGCTTGTACAGAAGGTTCGACAGGCGAAAACAAATGATCATCAGTTGAGTCCAAATCAACATTATCAGGCTAACATCCTAAAAGAAAATGTGAAAGATTTCCGGAATTTATACTGTTACACCTGAACTTGAACATCGGGCGCTTTCAGATTTCTCAGCCCTCGGACACGTTAAGTTTGATAATTTGGACTGTACATGTATTTGATTCTTCAGACAAATGAATTTTTGAATTATCTCACTAAATGCTCCCATCAACGACTAACTTTATTTCATTTTCGGTCACATAAGTCCGGGTACTTGGAAATCTATTGATTCCGACAAACAGACCTTCGCGTACACAGTGAGTGGACCTTGGGTGTAAAACACTGGTCTTTTAATTGCTGAATAGAAGAGCGTCTTTAGGTGACAACAGGGAAAATGCTTTTACATCAGCCGTGTCTGCAAAGTCGCAGAAGTCTTTCAGTGAAAAGAACGGCGAAAATGACGCCAGAAAGTCCACCAAGCATCAAGAAAGACGTATCGTAGCTACCAGTGGCATCGTAAGCAATACCTGCAGTTAAACAATGCCAGTAACAGCTGCTGTCAAATACATATACATGCTCGGCCTAATGGCGCTGACCCAAGTGGGTCGAAATGAGGTTAGATTTAGTGGTCAGTGTTGAGCTTGTACTGATGATGGGCTACTTGCTTGGGTTTTATGAGGGATAATGTATTCAGGGGATCGGGCAAAAATGGGGAGGGCCTCCAAGGTACTAGGTTCAGTGAGGCGATTTAATGGGATAGCATATAAATGATAAAGTATCCCGATAACATGTGGATTAAACCTTAACATTTGATTTTGATTCCTTTCAATTGCATTGTGCAATCGAGTGAATTATGGTTTGAAAAGTTAGGATCCCGCTAAGGCAATACTAAAAATAGTTTGATTGAAAAACGTGGTCTTGAAATATTTACAGTATGAATATGAATTTGCCTACAGTCCCACACAACCAAACACATAGACTATATCATACCCGCAAAACACTGCCCGTAACTGATCCGTAGGGAAGCCAACTCGATACTCGGTAAGAAACAGGGATAGCCGATAAAATGTCTAAATAAAACTGGTATACAACTTTCGTACTAGATCCACGTAGAATCACATGTGAACGAAAATACACCATTTAGACTTACCTGCAAAACCTCCACCGGCCAATTCCCCTACACCAAAAAAGAGATTTAGTGTCCCCCAGCCTTGGACGCTGAGATCTTCACTCAGGACCTCTTGAGCCACCAGGAGAAATAAGACAGCCATCGTTGGAATACAGAGTCCGTTCACTAAAGCCAAACACAAAAGTCCTGGGTAGTTTCCTGAGACTAACGGGTCAAGTACAAACGCAAATAAACTGATGAAAGCAAGGAAGATGTCCAGCTGAACTGCTGTGATACACCTGAGATGCATTACAACTGCTTGTATTACCCGTCCAAGTACTGTTCCCAATCCACCTGCGGACGAGAGAAATGCTGCCCGGTGCCTGTCAATACCTCTCGCTACTCCGTGGGGAACGAGGTAGATCATCCAAGCACTGTAAGTGACGCCAATCAGAGAGCTAACAAAGGCATGAATGACAAACTTGGGTTCGTACCATAGGACGTCCAAAGCCAGGAGCTGACAGATGCCCTTAAAAACGACTTTCCAGTATTTCCAGAGTTTGTTTCCGTCATTATTAGGACTCGCGCTTTCACGTAAACTTCCGTCTTCTGATGCTAGTGCCGCGTACGACGACGGGGCTGGCTTGATGAAGGCACCAAACACGCACACTTGAGCGTTCACAGCAGAAAATAACAACAATGTTCCACGCCAACCGTATACTTCGACGCAGAATTCCGTTAGAGGTGGGTAAACCATTATTCCAAAACCAGATCCCAACCCGATTAGGCTGATAGCAAACGCCGATTTGCTCGGGAAATACGGAAGTACGGCAATGATCATAGGGCCGTAGCTAACGGCAACACCAACCCCTGTTAAAGAAAATAAACAGGTGCGAAGTATTTAAGAATGCTACAATAAGGAATTTATAATTATAATAAATTGCTTTTGTTATGCAAGGAGCACCGTCTTCCTTCCGTACCCTTGCAGTTTTGTTAATGAATTCTCTCCGGAGAATACACTGATAAAATTCTAGCAGTCCCTGACCTAGGGGTGTGGAGGTTTGCAGGTGTGTGAAGCCCCTGAATGTACTTTCAAATTGCCTTGGAATAAGGGAAAGTGTCATAGATTGCAATTATTCGCCTTAAGAAAGGAAATATTAGTGGCGATAGAGACCAGGGAAGTTTTTCTCTTGTCCAAAGTTCATCCACAGAATGGCACTACTATCCGGAACAGGTCGGTTCTGAAGTATTGACGGAATTGAAGGAAATAATACTCAGTGAATATTTCTGAGACTCACTTTTTATGCATCTTTATACCCTTATTCGGTGTATGAAAACCTTTAAAATCCTTGAAAAAAACTAATAACCTTTTAGAAATAAGTGTATATATAGAAAATCTTCAGACATGAAAATGGTCCAAGCTTTTCTAGAGAGGTGAGGGCGCTGTTGTTGTAATGTGAATCGGAGAAGACACAGTTCAGCTCCGTGCATGTTTAAATTTTGAACTCATAATTTCCTCTTTGAAAACTGAGAAAAAGGTTGCTTTCTACCTTACTTGCTAAATATGAAAAATCCATATTGGTTCACAAATGAATGGAATATTGAGGTTGCAGTTTTGCTCATGAATATGGAAATTGCATTAGCATAACAACCAAGGAAGCTTCAAAATAAAGACTGAAAAAGCGAAACAAAAAGGTTGACTGAAACACAAATTTAAAGTTGATACTTGTGTTAATGGCTAGCAGTTGCTAACGTACATTTACTTATCATTCGACCACAAATACGTCCTTGCTCTACAGGTTTCAAGCAAAGCCCGATACAAAAAATCATACACAACAGGGGAATTAATTGCGTGGTAGCCATCTTGCAGGGCAGTTCTTTTGTTCCACAGGGAAACGTCCTTTGTGTGTACCCGGTGGAACAAAAGCACTGGCCTGCAAGATGGCAGACATGCAAACCCTCCCTACATGGCTTTGAAGCCCACAAACAAGCACAGAAATCCTACAACCTTACTACCTGAATGCTGATCAACTCTTGTTGGAGGATTGTTGGAACGTTTCTTGTTTGATCTTGAGCTTAACCTGCTCGAGCCACGTTCGTGTTGTTTTGGTTTCACGTCACATACTTACCCCAGATTATGACAAACACTGAAAACTGAGCGATGTTGCTTGCCAGGCAAGCTCCGACAAAGCACAGAAAAGTGGTAAAGCCTCCTCCAATTACCAACGGTTTGGAGCCAAGCTTCTTGGCAAGTCTGTTTCCAATTGGCACTGTGAAGGAAAATCCAGAAGCACACCTTCACTGGAAATAACATCACTGTGAGATGCCGGTTAATTGCAAGAACAATAAGTAATGACATATGGTAATAGTGAATAGGCAGGGGAGGGGGCATCGTTGTCCCTTTTTTGAATATCAATATCTTTCAGTCTGCCACAATTTGTTCAAATCGTTAAAATGTCATTCGCCGAAGCCTCCTCCAGACAGAAGACAACCACAGCCGTTTGTCTGTAAAGAGACCAAGGTTATGTTCATTGGACGATATCTTTCTGTTGAATAGACCCCCCTTTGCAGCTGGTACTCGGTAATGGTTCCTTCAGCATGGCAAGCCATTTTAAAAAATCGTCATCTCTGTTCATCTCTGGGCAACCTAAACTACCCTTTACCAACCATGCCAATAAAGGCGATTCACAATAGGGTGCCTTCAAGAGTTTGGAACTCGTTAATAAATCACAATTCGCGAAATCTGTCGACCCAATGCGCGTTTGGAAAGGGTCGAAAGACTTCGTGCATTGTGATTGGCCAACACGTTGCAAACTCAGGCGTGGAGGTGCACTATTGTGAATCGCCTGAATAGGCCAGAAGAGCTGCCAGGAACTGTCTAAAACCCACCAGGATTAACACTTTTGAAGTTTAATGAGCAATTTGCTAGTACAGCAGGAAATGGTGACAGCAAATGCCCCAGCAAATCAACGGAATAAACATACTTCTTTCAAACAACGAATTTGTCGAACTGACTGCCATCTGGTTCGCAAAGTCGTGATCTACATGTACCAACTATACGAAAAACCAGGAATATTAATTTAGACACGGCAGCATAGACCTATTTAAATCTAAACTCCTTCCGCTTCGCATTCTTACTACTACATTCTATTTCATTTCAGTGATCACACCCAATCGAACACATGTCTGTGCGTGAAAGAACACATCAGGCTCAGAAAGAAATCAGTCCGTTTCTTACTCAGAACATAGCCCACTGTGTGGGCAGCAGCAAAAGCAGTACCCAGTGTTGTAACTGAACACTGTAACGATTCTTGAACGGGAAGCAACAAGACTCCGAAGCTTTTGAATGTCCCAATTTCAATCAAGCCAGTAAGGAACGCCAAGGCGGTCAGGAACCAGCCATAGCCACCATCTTGGGAGTTCACGTCCTGGCAACAAAATGAAGTGTGTAAGTTTGCAGGACAGGGGAATCATTTATTTCTTCGAGTGGTTTCGTAATTGTTACATCTATTGAATTTGTCATCTTTTATTTTCTTTCCCCGAGGCAACACGGCATATGACCGTTGGGAAGGGAAGATTAAGGAAATTTTCTGAGAGGGGGCAGGCCCCTAGGATTTTTTTTAAAGTCTGACCTTTGCAGACAGTTGGACACATAGGTAATGCATTTCACTGTATCTGATATACAAACAACACATACATGTAAATTATCCATAATACGTGTATTGTATCATCGATACGGCGCGGCGTTGAATTTACATGGCAGCTTAGCTTATTCATGTGCATAGCCTGAATATTCACAGGCACACAGAACATTTCAATCCCCGTTAAATTTGTTCACCAGTCGCAAGCATCTTTGTAGTTTAGCCTAAGTCCGCGGTCTCATACACTGCATAATTTGTGCGATCTTCTTCACAACCCCAAGTGACGTCAGCATAAACTTTAAGCCTACTGACTCTTCCTCCGGTTACGCGTCTAAATCCAGTCTATACGGTCCTCACTCTCAACCTTGCCATACTATACAGCCAAAACAAGTCAAAACTGCCACAATCTTGACAGACGGAGGTCTTCATTTTTGTGTATACTTCTCCACTATTGACTCCAGGTCCCCTTCACGAATCTTAGCCTGTCTCCATGACTTGTGTTAACTACAATGTAGCGAGTCTTCAGTCGTATGCACTAACTGTAAAAACCTGAACCAAACTGTACCCAATAGAGACGAGTCAAAACTGCCGTAAGAGGTCGTTTTCGTTGTGTACTTACTTTTCTCCCCGTTGGCGACGTCATTCCTTCACTTCACAAGCCTGGATAAAAGTAATTGAAGGAAAGCGCACTTTTGTAACGACAACAACACTTAAAGGACCGTTTCAAAGGTAGTCTTTTTGATTTCCTGCGAGTATCAGCCTTCACTGCACATATGCACGGTCTGTATGTGTCTACCACATTTGATACCTCCTCATAGGGTCCGTCCGACTATACATGTACTGGTGACCGGTATTGATGCTCGGTCAACCAAATTGTCCGTGGGTCAACCATACCTAAATGTGACCTTGGGTGTTAGAATATTGGTCCTAGTATACACACGGACTTTTCGGCTGAAATGTCCATTGAAGAAAGAAGGAGGTAACAGTGGAGTGACTTGTGAATGGAATTGGTGACCCTTGCAACTGCTTGAAAACAGATGACGACGAGAAAGTAAGTGGTTTCATATGGATATTCGACGTTCACATAATTATTTTTGTGCAACGGGTGAAAGGGTCAGTCGGTACGAATGTCCAGTCCTGCCACTGAAATAAAAAATTTGGTGGGAAACTAATTTGTTACATTATTTATTCGTCATTTTGAATTGCATATATATACTAACTCGTAACGAGTTGCCAATTTGTTATGATGAATTAGTAATTCGTAATAACGGATTCAGAGTGTCTAATATCGAATTACTAATTCGTTATTTCGATTTACTAATTAGCTAATTGGTTATTTCAAATTTCTAATTCGTTGTTTGGAATTACTAATTATTGTTTGCGGTTGGGTTACAAGCACTTGCGTAATTTCTAGCCAAAGCCATTGATTTTGGACAGGGCATCACGCAGGTGGGACGTGATGTCACTTTGCGGACGTCGTTCGCGTTTTTGTGCGGCCTGTGGGTTGTATGAAAGCAACTTCTGTAACTTTAGTAGTAATCAGTAATAACGATTTACTAATTCATAGTAACGAATCAGTAAGCCAAAACACCAAATTAATTCGTAATAATAACGAATTAATTTTCCACTATAAACTCGAGTGTAATTTCAGGCCAAATATTGAGTGATAATAAATGGATTTGGGTGACAGTCACACTGGATTTTTTTATTGCCTCAAATCTCAGTTTCTTTCATCCCTTGATATGCGCTATGAATACAGAATTATATTACATATATGTACACATGACCAGTATCGAGACCTGGAAGTCCACGACCGAGACTATATGGCCCGAGACCTCGATACCCGTCTGAAAATAACCGTTACTCCTGATTTGCTTCCAATAATGCACTCATACTCGTAGGCACTGACTTGCGTTCGAGCAAGGTACCCGTGTTAACACAAGTACATGTACATGTATATGGATACTTCTGACTTTCCCGAGCTGAGCGCACGAGCGGCTGGAGTGCGACCCGCGGGTCAGCGAGCGGGAGCCTCGCTAGCGCTACGAACGGGGAATTTCATCCTATCTTGAACCCAACTGTAAAACGTGTCCTACTCGTGTTAACAGGAGTAACCGCACGAACACACCCAAATAAAGCAGTGCCTTGTCATTTGGGACACTGATAGTACTGCATACACCTGTACAGAGAGAAATACCTTGCCGAACCAAATCGCAGTAAACGTCGTGGGGTAGGCCTACGTTCGCTCTTTGCACTCGCAGGCTGCTGTTTTAGGCATGCAGGCGAGAGCCTTGAACTGGCAGCTCGTCATATAATTACGGAAGCCGGATAGTGCCAGGGTGAATTTGTGTGTGTGTGTGGGGGGGGGTGTATAACCTTTTTTTTGACAAATTCTGTGGCGGCCGTTAGATGATTATGCGGTGGCCGCCACATGATTTGTCAAAAAAAGTATTACACCCCCCATGTAAAAAATATTCATCCCCTATGCGCAAGAAATGTATACACCCATGGGAAAAAATTATTCACCCCCATGCATAAAAAATATTTGCAAAATCATGTGGCGGCCGCCACATAATTTGTCAAAACAAGTTTTACACCCCCTACGCAAAAAAATTCACCCTGGCACTATCCGGCTTCCGTAAATAATAGACTTGAATCATGTCTGACTTACGTTGCTTTTCCTCAGCCATCCCCCTTCAGCCGCTACGCACTACACTGTCGTCGCGCTCGGCCCTGCAGCTCGCTACTTTTTAGGGTTAATGCTCGGACAGGATACACTTGAGATCCCGTCGTTATAGCCCTCTTTCCAAATCCACATTCCCTTCTACTGGCATTTAAATTGATCAGAGGGTATCCCCAAGTGCCTACAAATAAAAAACCCGCACAAAAAAGGTCAGAGTACGGTCACGGTACCCTTTTTCCAGTCAAAGGGGTCCCACCACAATCAACAAAAAATTGACACCCCCCTACGCAGTGAAACTACTCAGACAGCTGTCTAGACAGCTCAAAGACACAACAGAGAGACCGACCATTGACATAAAACAGGCCCGGGCTTGCCCAGGCACTTGTTTGTCAATAACCATTATCAGCATGTGACTTAGATATTTACATACAATCCCCATGGGACTTGGCTGGAGGCAGGCTCTGGAAAAGAATTACTCAGCTCAGGGGAAGTCCCCATGTTAAAGGTGACTAAACTAGGCTGTTCAGCATCTACAGAGAGACAAATTAACAGGAGGTTTTTGCATTTGGCCGAATTTTTTTTCAATTACGTAATTGGAAAAAATTGGATCCCCATGGGAGCAACTCCGCTCTACGTCAGGTTAAGCGCCCTAAGCCTTTAGTGTACAACGTGTGTCATACGTCACCAGTCAGTAAGTACGACTTGACTGATTAAGCCAATCGGACCCCCTGTCGGTGTCATGTAGTTATTCATAACTGCATAGGAACGACATGATCTTGCATAATGTATATGGAATTTCCACCAAACATAGTGGTCAGAATTGTAGACTGTTTTTCATACCTGCATTGTCGGTGAAAAACGTAAAAACAAGTCCAGCAATGTGATTGGCTGCTACTACTTTTGTTAGATGAGGCCACTGGCTGTGTACAAACGGTTGGCAGATTCGTCAAGTCGGGATTTGAACTCACCGTAATAAGTAGACACAGGAGGGCGCAAAGCAAGCAACGGCGCGCGGTCTCGTTCGATGTGTATCCAAAGCAGAAGCGAAGACGTCAGAGAGATCCCGACTTGAGTTAAGTCTAGTAGTCATACAAGAGAATCAATGAACCGGCCAGATTGATTGTGTAAAGCTGCAAGATAGCGGCAACGTGCAAAGAGCGAATGGCACATGAACCTACATCTTAGTATGGATGACCCACGGACCATGGTTGACCGCGCATCAACATATCGGTCAGTATAGTGACTGTAGCGGTTTTCGGTTGATTACTCTATAAAGCTCCCTTGATTGTCGAATTCAATTAAAGTTCAAGTTGACGAATTGTGTATAATGAGCTTGAGTTCTTTAATACAGGTTCAGCCTTCACAGGAATTCAAGGCAATGATGGGATTTCACAAGTGTTCTGGTATCCAGGGGATCATCACAGATGTCAAGGCATTCATGAATTCGCAGGTGTCGCGATGTTTCACACATTCACAGATATCACAATAGTTCATAATGGATGACGATAGTTCACTGCGGTTCACGTAAAAACTGGAATATAAATACGAAAGAAAAAATGCATAAGTGCATCTCAAAGTACAATAAACATGTGGAGTGATTAGAAATGCTGCATAACTTGATCCACAAATTATCTGGTTTATAAATGGCAAGAAATAAGTTCACGATACTATAAAGCCTAAAATTATATAAGAATCTACATCCACTGTTTAAGGGGGGCAAATCCAAGATGACGTAAGGTACGGTGCATGTGTATCATCGATGGAATATCATTAGACAAACACACTGTAAAAAAAATTGGTCCTGTGGAACCGCTAATTTACCTTAAAAATACTACAGATATCACTGTTAATTCGCTCAAATTAACGTTAAAACTAATTCCGTGATTCATAAAATATATAAATATTCGGTTACCTCTGTCCTTAGGTCGGGTTATGAGAAAAAACTTCAGGGTTCTTTGAGTCAAAGTTTACTAACGATGTCTGCTAAAAACGTGGTCATGAAAAAGTATAGTTCGCGCAACAGCGCCACCATGAGGCAGGAATGTACGTAGTAGGCCGCTGGCGTCACATGGCTCCCCTAATTTGATATCTCAAATTACTCTTAATTAATAATCAGCAGTTTGTCAACAGATAAAATGAAGGTAACACGAGCTTGAAAATGTCTGTAAACTTGACAAGAGGGTTAATATCCAAGTACTACGCAGAATCTATACTACTAAGAGGATAAGAAAAACGCATGCACATGAATACAGTCACTGATGAAGCATCCAAGCTGGCTTGTGATGTCGAAGTTAGATGAAACTTCATTTGTTGTTTTGCTCCACGTCGGGGACGCCTTGGTGCATAAGCCACATCAGTTTGTTGACTGGTCTCTCAATAATGGATTGACCCACCTGGAGTTTGACCTTCCTAGTCAGACCATCAAGTCCAGGATGCGTCTCTACGATGCGAGCTAATTGGCATCCTGGAAGTGAGTCATTCATCATCATAGCCGTATGTCACCTTCACCAAGGTTCCTCTGAGGACTTGTCCACTTCTTCTCTTGCAGTGTTGACAGATGCTCGGTCTTCCATCGTGACCAATACTGGTTGGCGAGGTACTGAACTCTACGCCATCTACGTCCACAATAGACGTCTTGTTGAACGAAGACTCCTTGTGGGGGAAGCACTGCTCTTTCCTTCAATGTCAGGAGTTGACTCGGTGTCAGTGGTTCTGGGATATCTGGGGCCCTTGTGTCGACGCATGTGAGGGGTCGACTGTTTACAACTGCTTCGGCCTCAGTCATGAGGGTCCTCAACAGCTCATCATCTAATTGTTGCCTACGTTGCCGACAAGGCTGAGAAGGCGTTCTTGATTGAACGAATCATCTGCTCTCAGGCTTCTACCATATGACTAGCGGTGGAAAAATTAATGTTGAACTTTACCCAGTCACAGTTGTCCTTCAGGAGCTCTTGAGAAATCTTGGACTAATCCATCTCGGTAAGAACGTGGTCAAGTTCGTTTTTTCCACCAACGAAGTTTGTACCTCAGTCGGATCATAGCTGTCTCACCAGTCTCTTCTGCAAGTGAACTTTCGGTAGGCATTCAGAAAGAAAGTTCGATACTGATCTTTCCTTCCTTCTTTAATAGCAAAGCGGCCAAAGAAATGAACCGCGCTGTATGTAAATGGCGCGGATGGATCCAGTCTGTCCTTTGGTAGTTCAGCCATCTTTTGCCTACATGGTGCATCTCTGAGCCTGCGGCAGATCACACACACTGGGGCCAACTATCCAAAATCCGGTTTGTCGAATCTTATTTAGGGTCATCCTACGTCCAGAATGGCTTCATTGAATTAGGCAATATTCGATCAGAAGGTCAGTTACATGACCATGACGTGGTAGCAAGATGGGATGCTTGATGTCTTTAGGTAGTGAGGCACGCTTTATGCGTCCACCAACTCTAAGTAGCTGGTTTTCATCTATGATTGGATCAAGCATATTGTAGTAGACACCTTGCTAGTCGTACATCCACTGATCAACGAAACGAAACGATCTTTACTGGACTTACTTTGGTATTTTCTCTATGATCTTCTTGTGCTCAGCTGGATCATCAAGAACTTTCAATTGGCTTAAAGTTGACATAGCTGACTCACATTGGAAACGGAAATCGTACGGAATACGAAGTCCCTTTCCATAGGTATTTGCTGCAAGCAACTTGTTACCATATCGCTCAGTCAGAAGTTTCTTTGCCGTGTGGTAGGCGCTGTCATTGTTCAGGGCAAGGAGTCCCTTGATGCACTCTCTGGCTTCACCGCTGGTGTATCTGCCTAGGTAGTACAGGCGGTCGGTTACACATGGATAGCGCTGCTCCTCAAGTACAGAGAACGAGTTCATCCATACAGGAAAATTAAACACGTTGCCTTTGAAGATTTCAGACTCTCTTTTGGGCAGTTTCTCCTCTATTCTTGTGAGCACGTCTGCTAGTGCTGTTATGGCACTTGCCACATCGTATCTTGAAGTGTCACTTGGCTGATTTTGAAGAACTGCAACAGGTGGCTCTGCTTTGCATACATGTGTCGATGTCCTGGTGTGGGAAGTAAACTCGAGGGAAGGGGCTATCATTGCAGGGGGCGGAGTCACAAGGGGGGCATCGTCTTCGTTAGTGTTAGATGTATCACAGACAACAGTCTCAGGACGTTGCTGTCCATCATTCGGTGAACTCTCAGTAACTGCCTCAGTGAATGGCCCATCTATTACTGGGGGAGGTCATTCACATCAATAAGTGGGGATGGATTCAGTTGAGAAAGTTTGCCGTCATATTTGTTGAGAACTTGTAGCCTGGCACTGCTCACATCGACTTCTGTTTGAGGTTTCAACCACTCGGCTTGTCTTTCGAATTCAAGGCGATTGATCTCCATCCGTTGCGTGAGTCGTTGGTTCTCCAGTTTTAGTGAGCGTCTTGACAGCTCCAGTTCATGATTTTTGATCAATAGCTGCAGATCGTACTTGTAGTTCTGCTCTCTTGTGCAATACGAAGAAGCTCGGTGTTTGAATGTCTGGAGCTGGTATTGGATCGTCTGCTGCCATGGCTGATGATTGAAACTGATTCGCCGAGCTGTATGTTGTCTACCACATTCGTGTCTGTCATCTTGTATCAAGTAGAATTTTTACTGTGGCGCTTTTCGGTTGCTTGCTCTATAAACATTTCTTTATTGACTGAGCTCAATTAAAGTTCAAAGTTTAAGTTGACGAATTGTGTATAATGAGCTTGAGTTCTTTAATACGGGTTCACAGGCTTTCACATTACAGCCTTCAAAGGAATTTACTGTAATAATGGTATTTCACAAGTGTTGCGGTATTCAAGGGATTTCACAGATGTCATGACATGCATGAATTCAAAATTTACTGACGATAACTGCTTAAAAGTGGTCATGAAAAAGTATAGACATCCACTGTAATGTAACATGATAGTGAAACGGGGTCTGTGGGACTCACGAACTGAAGACATGGAGTCAACAGAGGAGAACAAAACTAAATAGGGACCTCCTTCAGTCAGGATCGGCAGTTTTACCAGTTTTCTTTGGGGGGGTACAGATTGATAATGTTGGTCAAGTCGTTCCCCATTATTTTTACACACACAAATGGTCAAAATGAAACGAATGAAAATTGTGAATGAATGAGTACATGTACGAGTTTCTGCCTTGTTTTTCTTTCTCTTCTACGTGTGATTGATGTATCTAAAAAGAAAAAGAAAATCACACGCACGGATATCACTTGTAAGAACTAGTGCGGGGACGACTTGACCCGGAGACGACATGACCAGGGTTTCATTAATGGGGGACGACTTGATTGGGACGACTTGACCTGGAAATGACTTGACCAGTTTTCGAGATTTAGAACATCGGCACTGGTTAACATGTCAGGTACGGAGACTGGATATGGGCGCAGCAAAAGAAAACAATTTTTCCGTAGATGTAAACAATAAAATTGTTTCATCAAGGACATCTGATTTTTTTTGTGTCTGGTTTGTTTTCTAGTTAACATAAGGAAGCTGCGTAAGATGAGTGGGGACTTAGGCCTACTTCCGGGAAAATGGGGGGGAGGATTCTCTGTGCGTTGGAGACCATCATCTCCGTTGTGCAAGAAGGGCAGAGGGGAGACACATTATCCTAGACAAGTCAGGCAAATTGTCTGGGGGGACAGAACGGGGGGGGCTGAAGAATGCAGAATCTTTGTCTATACCGGCAAGCGAAACCAAAGGACATAATCATAAAATACGGGGAATCTTTCGCAAATTTCATTATTCTGAATTTAAAATACATATTACAGATGTACATCAATATTATGAAAACTGAGCTCCGGGGAAGCCACGCCCCAAAACGAGAACTGTTGTCACCACGTGGAGATTCTCATCACCGGTCAGTTCCCGGTCATGCCTGATTCTGTACGACTGTTTTATGGTAGCTAATACATCCCTGAGTTCCCCTCTAACTATATTCAATTATTCTGCTGTGGAAGTAATACCAGGTCGCAACCCAAACAGCCGACCAGTGAGCACATGTCTGTAAACAAAGAGATCCAGTTCCTGCTGGTGACCATATGGGCTCCTTGGGGTGACTGATTTTTCAAGAATTTTAACTCGGCAGTGGTTAGGGTCTGGCCAGTGGGATTTTACAGGCTTGTGGTGTGTGCCTGGGGTGAGGATCACCTAAAATCTTTTCCAAGTTGACCAAATGAAAAAAAAGTTGTGACCATATTTGAAGAAATTTGTCGATCTGTATCACCGCGCCGTTGACACTAGGGTTAAGGAGTCATATGGTGCCAACGCCTCCTCCACCCCTCCCGCTTTTCAAATTTTCATGACAGGGTAAGTCATTTCCCCCCACCTCTTTCCCAATCCCCCACCCCCAATCTCCGGCACAAATTTTATGCTACTGCATGTATTGGTAGGTGGGTCGGTTGTTAGGTATGCGGTTACAAGGTTGAGATTGAAGACTCGCTCTTTCATCAGCGTCCTAACTGATATCAACGCGAACCTATGTTCGATTGATTAATTATACCAACGCAATTAAAACTGTCATGTTAAATAAAACCTGTGTAACAGTATCAGACCATTTTAGGAAAGGCAGAAAAGGACCAGTGGTATACTGAGTTAGAACAGCAATGGCCTGTTTATTTCACACGGATCTGGATCGCGATCACTGATCCCTATGGAATTCCATATCTGCCGTCGTGCGTCGCCCGTCGTGCGTCGCCCATCAAATGGGTTGCATAGGACCTGCAAAAGCCGGGGTTTAACAAATGACAATGTGATGATTCCATTCATTTCTAAAGATCTTTTCCGAATAAGGCAAGTACAAATCCCACCTGCAAAGCATATACTAGTCACATAATTAATTCCAATAATGTTAGACTACCCCTGCCCCTTGACAAGAAAATATCACCTCTCTGAGAATTCAACTAAGTGTTTTTTGGGAAAAACATTTTCAGCGAAAATGTTCCTGCCAACTTATCCACAGTGTTATTCTAATTTGCATACTGTAAAAATGTGCCGACTTGTTTTCATCAAATTCCAGGAAGAAATCTGCCAACCGATACAGATATTCCATCTTGTCCTCTCAATTTCACCTTGAAATCCAGAAATACTAGACGTGCTGGGGATAACAAACTGTTTATTAAATGCATTGTTAGGGGGCAATTACCACTTGGTTTAAGTTTCAGAAAATATGACGTGTTAGTTTTTGTGGGCGTGTATGCCATGGCGGATAGACCAATGAGAACAGGTTGTCCAGCACATCAACATTATTTATGGGCTAACAAGTAACGTTACTGTTGAAAAGATTTCTGTGAGCCAACCTGCAACTGAAGTCATGTGTAATTTGGAGTATACAGCAGATTTCATCATAGGTATACCCGCCCTCAAAATAATGTTGAATCAGCTCGTCTCTTATGAAAACTATTAAGGAATCAAATATTGTAAATAATCTATTATTTACATTCAGTTCTGTGGGATATCGTGCAGGGATAGACAGAAATATTACATAGGCTATAGACCTACTATAGGTCACGTGTCTTAGCAGGCGCAATTGGCCTATTGGATTACTACGGATCTAGCTGAAAGTTACAGAAATCACTTGTGGTAGCGTAGAACTGTTAGTAAACTCACGCTCATAAAGTTAATATTTCAAGACCACACTTTTCAATCGAATTATTTTCATCATTGCCTTGGCTAAAGATCCTCAGGTTTTATATCGTAAATCACTTGAATGTACTGGTACGTGTACATTTCATTGAAAGTCAAATTTTGTGGCTTGATATATGCTTTATTCCGGTTAAGTTAGCAGTTATAATACCAGCCCATCAAATCTTCTCAATAGACCTAGGAACCCTACCCATTTTTTCCCGATCCCCTGAACCCCCTCATTCATGTCCCACATATCCAAGCGGGCAGTCTCATTTTCAGTACAAACTCACTATATCAACTTGAATCATCAAATCCAACCTCATTTCGCCTATTTGGGTCAGCAGGCAGAGCATGTGTTTACACTGCTGTTTCTGGCATTTTGTAACTTCAGGAGTTAATTGCGATGCCACTAGTAGCTGCGATACGTCTTTCTGGATGCTTGGCCTTCTGGTGTCATTTTTGCAGTGCTTGTGACTGAATTCTGCACCTTTGCAGACATAACTGATGTAAGTGAATTGTTACTTTTTGTCACATCAAGATCTGGCCATGTATAGTCTCTTCCATTCGGCAAAGTGAGTGTTTCATACAGGGTCAGATCGATAATGCGAAGGTCCGATTCTCTGAACCAACAGGTTATCTTTTGAATACTTAGGAGCACTTAGTGCGATAACATGAAAAACTGTTTGTCTGAATATTCAAGTACAGTCCATATTGTTGAGGTTGACCAGGCTGAGCGTTAAGAAGTCTGAAAAGCGCCCGATGCTCAGGTTCAGCAGTTTGAACTGGAGTCGTTGTTCCCATGGATCTTTCATAATGTCAGGTAGGATCACTGAACCCTTGTGTCGATTGGACTTGTTAGCCTTCTGCTGTCGATTCGGACTATCAAACCATCGAATCAGTGACCCTTAATGTTTTCGCCTTCCAAACCTTTGGCATCAGACAAACAAACCTGCGGACGAAACGGTAACCGTTTCATAAGTCAACGATTAAGTTAATTCTGTGTATATCTCTGTCGGAGTTTTTTTGAGTCTTTTCGCTCTGAATCAATCACACAATCAGTGGTAAATCTTGACGCAACAGGGCGAGAACTTTATGAGGCTGGACGTATAACTTAAAAGCGCGCATAGCAGCACCATAGTACAATGGCTTTTTACGCTGATCCGCGGATCAATTTACAGAAAATCATCAACTTTCGGCTGCGGAGTAGGCCACTTCTTTTGGTTAAATCGTGACCCTTGCCCCACACTTCAAGTCTATGGCAGCCCAACCAAACACCAGGACCCGGCAGCAACCTTTGCACCTACTCTGCATCGCAGATGATGAGTCTGCAAACTTATATGCCCTTCATACACCACCAGGAAAGTAGCGCACGTCGTTCCCCCGTTTGTACAATACCTGCATGGAGGTATACGTAGTAACGGCATGCTGCGACCAGGCCAAATTGCAACACTCGCCTAGGATCGTAGTAAATAGACGAAGCTTGTAGTCCTCTGAACGCAGCCGAAAGGGAAAGATGTTACAGAGAGTATTGCTCTGGATGTCTCAGAAAAAAAAAATCCTGAAATAAAGGGTTATTTTGGCCAAGTTGTGCGCATGCTGTAGGAATCCGTCTCGAACAGAAGCACCCCCTCATCGGTTGAAAAGAGTCATGATGGCCGGGGGGGTAATGCTTATCGTAAGATGATATCACTCACTTATCGATGGTAAGCTGGACCATTGCTTAGAGTGTAGCTATCTGGTTTCATTTGTAAATAACGTTTATAAATACATGTACTGCCTCTGAAAAAGTCCTTTGTACAATCTGTCGACATCACATTACCCGAATCAAGCTTTCCATTCCACACCTTTCAGACATCATGATGAATGTTGACTTATCCTGACATTATTCCGTGAGGCTTTGTTTGAATTTAATCACAGTGTAGCAAAATGGGTTTTGGCATGTCAGTGGCGTATTATAAAAAAAATTTGCCAGGAACTGAGGGAAGGGGGATAAGGGGAGTTGGGAGGACGACTTGCCAGCCATGGACGTTTGAAAAGCAGGGAATGAGAGGTTCTTTCACCATATGTCAGGCACTAGGGAGCGACGTTCATGAGGCTACATCTGTAAGGTGTATAATAGTTCTGACGAACCCTTTCATCAAAATGTTGTATTTATATGGCATTTCAAAATTAGTTCTCCTATTTTGAGTACTGTTGAGACAGTTCATCATATAAATGTCTGTAATTTAATGAGGTACATTTAACGAAAGAATGGACAACAATTTTTGAGCCGATACTAAGCAGTTTATTGTATTTGATCCTAATAATAAGAGCCACTCTTTGGCGTGGAATAATCAACACAGACATTTTGGAGCAGGTATTTAGCAATGTATTTTAGCTCAAGAGCCACTCGTTTGGGCATACGTCGAAGCCGAGCAAGCAAACAAACGTACAGTCACGCAAACCCACACAACCATTGCTTAAACTATGGAAAACAATTCTGTAAGGAAACATGTTTGTTGTTGTATATTAAATGAGACATATTACAGCGTTCATTATTTCCCCTCCATTTGTCTAACATTTAACTAACAAATTTGTATCTACTTTTTGTTTATCCCTAGCTCCCACCAGGGGAGGAAAGAAACGATTCATCTCATTCTGGCGATTGGTGCAAAATTTTGTTACTGAAACTACAAATTTCTATATTCAAATACTATATTATGTCACCTTCCTACCATTACTTTTCTGACATAATTGCGACCCCTTTTTATCACAAAAAAATACCACTTGAACATATTAAGGGGCAGAATCTTAACTTAAGCTGGTTAGGCAGCTCCGACATGCATCACGTGCCTGACATAAAGCACCTCGTTTTCCTTAATGCTGAATATTTTCACTGTCTTAGCTGAAATAGTACTGAAAAGGGGAAAAAATGGACAAAAAGCTTTCAATGTGCCATAAAGTAGTTACAGGCTTGTACTGGAATTCGCTTAAGTTACTTCTTTTTGCAGATACTTGATTTCATATTTAATATATTATACGGGGAAGAAACCCCACTCTAATATTAAGTATCAAATTTGTAAGTTGTTGAAAATGAACAAAATTTACTGGCAGGTACAAGTATCCTAAATTGCCAGTACTGCAGTGTGACAATTTTAATGATTTATTGTTTCACTGTAGTATAAATTCGTGTTTTGTGACCGTATTGTCGAGCGTAAAATGATGTCGTTACATACTGAGACATGAGTGGGCTGTGGTGGTAATGTTATCGAAACTTTGTTGTGTAGGAATTGTTTTAAGACAGGAAGATTCTGGAAAATGCTGCCATTTCGTTAACTAAGCAACATTTATAATGACTGACTTAGGCTTCGAGTACTTAAATGATGTATGGTTGGTGGCGTAAATCTGTGTCGGCAAGTGGGGAAGGGAAATGACTACAATCTGTTCATTACCCGACCGTGGAACTTAGAGAAGCCTTGGGGGACTGACTTACACAAAATGACACTAAAGGGAGCCAGTCATGACACAGATATTCATCTTATGTATAGTTACTCCAGTTATATGACGTCGGAGTAAGTCATAAAAGCACGCCCACCTCGGCATTAACGTTGATGTTTGTTCGAGGTTCCACGTCAATATCCTTGCTTAGAGCATTTAAAATTACCCTGAGCTGTGACCCTCCATTTACTCCCAAAGCAAAGGTTAAACGACTTCAAGATCACAGACAAAACTGTTGCCCCACTCAAAATATGTCAGATCCTAAAATATGATACACCTATATCAGTTCATGAGATATGTCAAGTAGATAATCGTTAACAAGTTGATACCTGACAATGCCATGTGTTTGTATTTACATCTAGGGATCGGGGTTGATGTTCGTCTTAAGTTTCAAGTTCATAAAATGTACTTTCTCGGAGAAAAGCTGCAGAGAACTATCATCCAAAAAAGGAGAAAGATAGACTACTACAAACCACCACGCGGTGCCCAATCACCCCAGTATTTCGAAGAAAGCGAGTGCTGAATTAATATATCTCAGCAAGATTTGCAAGCCTGAATGATGAAAATTTCTGCTGGAATGCGGACGTGTCCAGGCTTGGACGAGTCCCCGTATTGTGACAATGTCCACTGCCACATGTCTCGAAGGTATTCCTCCATCTCTGATTCCGGTATTTGCGCTGAGATCCCTAGACCACTCTTTATCATTGCTTAACAGCGGATGAAAAAACAAAAGGAAAAAGTGACAGGTGACAAAGGCAACGAGGACTTTTTAGCTACAAAAAGTCTATACATGCTCTTTTGTGGTACACAGACTCTCTAATCAATTAAAAAACCCTACCTATGTGCAAAGTTCAGCGAACAGGTCCAGATACTGTTCTGGACCCCCTCGCCTGCGAAGTGAAGAACAATTTACCCCACTCTGTGTAGCAACTACCCAATGTCTGCAGACTGAATTTTTCTTTTCTGTTTAATAAAATAGCAATTAACTGAAAGTTCTTATGTTAATAGTTATACATGTAATTGCTTTGTGTCATATCTGGCATCAACTTTCACAAGGAAAAAGATTAAACACTGAAGATTATGTGCAGAATGTAAAAATTTTGGCAACTTTTTTTCAGCCCAGCATCAGAAGATCCTCAAACTGATAGGGTAAATTGTCACACAGTTTGATACTTTCTTTATTAAGTTTGGACACCCTCCCCCCCAAATAATCTGAAACATTTAATCTTGCCTTTTGTGGGTTCTTCCGTTATTTGGCCGTGATGCTGGAGCTCACAGCGTACGTTTTTCCAACCACAAGACGCCAGCAGTTTTTCAGCTTCTGAGACGGACATATTCCAAAATTGACAGGAAGACTTGAAGTCCTGAAAAGAAATGGTTCAATCTCACTGCTGGACGACTCCAAATATACTGTTCTAGACAGAAATCATTGCAATCAATCGCTGCAAAAATATATATATATATTCGTGGTTATATTATTTTTTTCTATGGGATAAAGTTATTTGACTGTACGGTGAGAACCAAGAAGATGACAATTCGTTCTTGGCACGCAGAGCCTCATTCTCGATCTTTACGCAAGCCGGTTCAACATTCCTGTGTATGCATGCTTCGTAATTCTGTGCGTGGTGCGTAAGCTCTAATACATAGTTGGACAACATTTGAAAAGCTACGGGGTGCATTCCACCAATTAGTTGTATTTCTGGGAGCGAGCTCATTAATATTTTGTGATCCCACAGGGTTTCTACAATAAGACATCAGGAGGTATTTTGAATAGAGGCGGGCGGCTACATTTAGAGCCAAGCACAAAGTCTTACTGCTATTTGGGGGTTATTTTCGGGGAAAGGCGAATAAGAAAAAAAGATTCGTGGCTAATCCCCATAAATTTGAAACGAAAAGTGATCTTCTGGCCATAATCTTGAATTTCCAGTGAAAACAACAAGACCGATTTCTTCACGAGAGTAAACAGGCGGCGCTATTTGGCTCGTTTTTGCATCGTTTTATATGGGCGCGTATTTGGTGTAGTGCAACCATTGATCTCCAGTTTAAAATGGAGATCAACGAGCGCAACCTACGTTGAAGCGATTGTGACCAGATTTTACAAACAGCCAGATCAAGGCTCTGCATGACTATAATGGCGGCAGCGTGCAACGAAAGAATAAGTCATTACGTTATCACTTATTATTTGAGACGATAACCAATTGTGGAAAACAGTGCTGCATTGCCGTAAAAGTGTAGCAGCGATAACATCATTCGTCACAATTTTTTGCAATGTCAAATTCCTCTATGTATGTATAAATTATTCGACAGACTTCTGCTATTTTTGTAATCTGTGTTCCGTTTCCAGTTTGGTCTTTTACGTTATTTATTTCAAATCATACAAAGTATATTTCTTCATTGGGTGGGGTGTGGGAGAGTCCTGTTTCTGTATGGATTTTGATTTTGTTTTTCTTTAGGATTGAGTGTTTATAATGTACATGTAATTGTTTTGTTTCCTGTTCGTCCGAGTGTATAGTGTATGTTTTAAATTTTTATCCTATATTCTATTTTATAATTGATTGTCCCTGTATGTTTAAAGCTTTTTTCTTTCTGTTTTGTAACTTTGTAAATGTGCCTGGAGAGCTACCAGATAGTTATTAGGTTAACTTATTAGCAATCCGGCAGGGCCGCTTTTTTGTTTTGTCATTTTAATGTATTGACCGGCGAAATAATAAATGAAATGAAACTTCTTCGGTTGAAAGAGTATTGCACTGAAGAGTGCAATGTTTAATTAAAAACATTCACGAATGCCCATGTTTTCCTGGACAACAGAGGGCACTGTTATTGTGATGTCAGCCAGAGAAGACAGATTTCAGTACAAAGGTTTTTCTGTCCAGGTTGAAACCAAGAATTTAGTCAATAAAAATGTTTTTGAGAAAAGGGTTGGTTGCTTTTTACCTACCCAACAATGAATACGCAAAAACAAAAAAATCTCTTAAAAAATGAAGCAGTTTTTTGTGCAGAAACCAATGCAACATTTTTGAGGCTTTCTTCCGGAATGATCTAGTTTTGCTCATGGATGTAAAAATATTTCTCAGCATTAAAAAACACACAAAATACTTAGAAAATACTCAAAAAGTAACAAGAATTTAAAATAAGGTTGAAGAAACACAAAGGTATAGCTTTTGAGATGCATTTTAATAATTAAATTGAGGCTACCCCGCACAAACATACCTTTCCGTATGTACTCCATTTGATGTGGTTTTGAACGAACTGAACTGACTCGGGGACCCAAGAAGACCTATTGCAAACGATGAACAGCGCTTCACCTCCGGGCTTGAGGCAGGCCAGGATGCTCCTGAGTGCCATAGCATGGTCCGGACACCAGTGAAGAACAAAGAAGCTGACTGCTTTGTCAAATCTCTCCTGCCACTCAGAGCAGTCCCCAATTGTTTGCGCATCTCCCAAACTGTAGGTTACATTTGGCGCTGAGTTGTTTGCACGAGCAAAGGCTATCATCTCCTTCGAAGAGTCAATGCCTAATTTAAAATAACGTTGGATTCAATGAGTTGGACGCATGATGAAACCTTAATGAATTTTTGGATTATGTTGCTGATTTTTTTTTACATACATGTAATTGGAGTACTCGGAACTGTACTCGGAACAAAAGACCACGCTACGGGAAATTTCCGATATTTTTTCACTCTCAAAAGTGGCGATAATCCAGCCTTGTTTTGAAACAGTATACCACGGTTTGGGGCATTTAGAGCGAGCGGATTACCACCGCGGACAAAAGCGCTCCACCACTGCAGCGATGAGCCACGCATCACAGCTGCACACTAATTTGGCCTCTGTTGAAAAAAAATTAGGAATTGTAAAGAATTTTGAAAAAAGAAAAAATGATAAATATCCCGGCCCAGCATCATCAACATTGAATGGCCTGGCAGGAAGTGGATATCAAATAGTGCCCTCCTAATGTGTCCACCTGCTCCCAAAAAGGCCAATGGAAGGAAATCCATTGCCGGATAACTGCTTTTGATTGCGATATTGAACTTTACAGAATTGGAGTTTTAAAATAGTTGTGAGCCTATGTAAGATCTTTTGACAAACGTTATAACTTGAAGTGTGTCGGATATTTTTGATACAATTTTATGCTGACCAAACTTCTGAAGGGATGGATTTTCACCAAAAATTCCAGAGTTTACATAATGTGTTGTAATTGTTTCAGAATGTGTGTGTGTGTCTGTAATCCTTGAATATCAAACCTAAAATTATTTGTTCAGTGTTTCATTGAGAGCAACTATGACACAAGAAAAGGATTCATCCTGTGCCAGTGTAAGTTTTTTTCAATTATTGTTATCGTGTAAAAATGCCAAATATGTTACAGGGTTGGCTGATTTAAATCACTTTGATTTAATTCACAAATTTAAAAAAAATCATTGATTCAAATAAACATAATCATTTAATTTTTGTAAGAAAAAGCAAAAATGTTTCAATTTTTACATTCCTTTCAACTGATATGTAACCTTTGCAGGTTTTGCAAGTTTAAGCAGCAAACCTCCCTTCTGTGAGCCTTTCAGTTTAGCGAAAAGGTGAATAAAAGAACACGTGTTACACACAATCTGGGTTGGCAGAATTTTTTGTTTAGCTAAATCCACTTCGATTTAAACCAGCTTTTTAGATTCAGTGAATAAATATAATGTAAAAGATTTACAATCATAACTTAATTTCACTTCATTTAAATTGGCCACTCCAGAGTTTGACATGGTAGAGGTTTCAGTGTACTCAACGTTTTATCTTTGAGCATTTTGTACAAATACGGTACATTCATTAATCATGTGATGCATGCATAAGTACATGTACTCTGTTAACAAACTCTTGTGAACTCTAGTTTTTGTCAAAACTTAAAAGTATGGTTTAAAACTGGTACGCAATTCATCCTTGGTACATGTACATGTACTATACATGTACATACACCTGTCTCTGAGGGAAGTATGTAGGTACATGTTCATGTACCTGTAGGTGCTATACTGCCCGAATTACACCTGGATTTAGACAATATTTATGGTTGTTTGTCAATTCAATCAAATTATTCCATTTAAATTGCTTATTCGAATCCAAATTTGTTTAATGTTGTTACAAAAGACAAAAATGAAAGAAACTTAATAAACATGCAGCTACTTTGCTTGCTTTTGTAAGATAATTGAGCCAAGTTATCTTCAATTTTTATAAAATTTAAAAATTCGATTGAAACCAAAAAATCTTATTTCAATTTTAAAAAATCCTTCCTTTTTCTTTAAATTAAAAAAAATTGCCAGCCCTGATGTGTAACTGTTTTCTATAGCTAGCTACGTAATCGAGATTTCACTCAGGTATACATGTAAGTTGCAAATACAACAACTACATGCACATGTACAATGTACATAGAGGTAGTTTGAAATGTTTCCATGTTTTACTTAGGTTGTTTTGAAGTTCTCTTTGAACTGTGCCATGATAAAAATACCCCTGTTGTAATAAATCTTTATAAAGGTATCTTGATTGATTGCTTCAGTTTCCTGTTCAGGAAATGAAGCTTAGTCACGTGATTTCGGCTACTGGTTCTAATTTTGAATGACTTTAATAAATTAACTTTGTGTCACTACGTCTTCTCCCGTGGCTATACATGGATTCAGTGAATCTGTTGTTGCATACAGTACTGAAGAAGAAGAAGACTTGGAAGTGCAAAAATCAGATGACCATACTGTTTACTAAGTTGTGTCAACAGTAGTCATCTAGAGTATCCATGGTGTATCTAACTAATTTTAGGCCTTGCTTTGATCATTTCAGACACAGGGCAGGTCAAATGCTTTGTCAAGATGACTATCAAACCATGAAGGATGGACTAACTTATAGTCACGGTACACTGGGAATGATTAGAAAGGGAGGGTCTGAAAAACTTTAGAATCGTTAGAATCCACCTGTCAGCAAGGTGACTCTACTATACAGTGTGTCCATATAAAAAGTATACCAAAGTAAAAATTACTGTAATGGCAAAACTATTGTGTATATATGAAAAGAGATATATATCTCTAGAAAGGGCAGCATGTCCTCTTTGCAATGGTATACAGCTTGTTGTGTTATTGACAGAGATGAGTAAACTAACTATACTGATGTAAGGTACTGAAATTGGCAATGTGAAAAGTTTGCATATTTGAGGCTCAACTATGCAAGTGTACAAAATAACAAATGCCTTTACTTTAAGAACAAATTCTTGAAAATAAGGACTGTACCTAAATCAATCTAATCTGCTTTGTTTTTGCTACTTACCTCATACCATGTTTAATGTGCTGTGCCCTCTACATGTACATGGCCATCATTCCTGTCAATGCACATATCTGACATCTTTGTAACATTCCTATAAGATACTGATTCCACTTTACAAAGCTACAGCACCATGACCCTCTCTGAGAAAACCCTCCTATTTTTGCCTGGCTGACAACCCCAATCTCCTTTTGTAATGAATGACTTGCCTGTGTAACACCCTTTTGTAAAGAAGATAAATAAAACTCATTTCATTGAGGAAACTACTCTTTTTTTTTAATATATTACAATCCAGCAAAGATGTACAGTATATTGAACTGAAAAAAGGAGGAAAAAAGATTTTTTTAAGGGCGCTCACCAATTGCATGTATTTACTTTTATGTGGCTTAAAGTTGTAAATAAAATTTATTTTCTAAAAATAAACAAGGGGAATTGTTGTTTTGAACACACAAATAAATTGAATATCATTAGATTTATGAAAAATGTAAAAGAATTACTTTGTGTTTTTACCTACGATTGGTGGCATAAACGTAGTGACAACTTCAGAGCACTGTAACTTTAATAACAATTTATTGGTCTAGGCCTAGTAGTAGGGATAAGAGAGTTCTGGCGCAGCCCCCCTTTTCCACCCTGCTTCCACGCTTCACCTCGACCTTTGACCCAGGCGCGGGACTGTGGAGGTGGTGAAGCATGGAAGTAGGGTGGAAATGGGGGGCTGCGCTAGAACTCTCTTATCCCTACTACTGGCCTACCGGTAGATTTTTTTTTCATTTCTAGAAAATTCAAATATGTCTTATTAATTTTGAAAAAGATATTTGAGAAAAAGCATTTTGAAATTTCGACTGTGTTGCACTTTCATGGAATTGCCCAGCCTACCCTTTATCGGTCTAGTTTGTTCACTTAATATCTGTGTTGATAACATTCACAAGCTTTATAGTAATTTCTTACCATTGCAAAGAAAGAGGACATGTATTCTGCCTTTCCTACTCCTAGAGATTTTTCTCTATAAGTAGCTATGCCATGACAGTAACTTTATCTTGGTATACTTTTTATGCGGACACCCTGCAGTTACCATGGTAACAAGGATAGCATGGAGGCTAATTACCCGTCACACTTTTCACTTCCGCTGCAATGGACTTTGTCTCTACACCGGTACCACAGCCCACGTCCAGTACGTCATCGTCTACTTGTAATGTAAGCTTATTTTTGTTACGATTCACCAAGGCGATATGCAAGTGCCTCCCGTGGCATTCGTAATCACTGATAGCTGAGAAATTCATGTCATTTATGTTAAGACTGAAAGACCTGTGATCGTCACTTCTGAAAAACGTTCAGCCCGACTTGCCTCAAAAGATTTGGCTACTTATACTGACGGACTAGATGTAATACCGCTCTTGGGGGCCTACCATACGTACGTTCGGCCCGGAAGAGCTGCGCTGCAGCTAGCTGGTACCAAGTGGTAGATCAAACGTCTGTAGATTATGTACGGGTCGAGAGCCAGTCTAGTGACAACAAACCTTAGGCCGTTTTCCTCAACTTCGGCTCCATCTGTGACTTCGACTGTTTTTTACTACCTGACTTTGAAACTGTAAGCGCACTAATTAGTCTAACAGTGCCACAAAACATCAAATAAGATGCAAGATAGCAAAAACTTACAATAATCCAATTTGATTTAAACGCTTCAAGCCCACAACCGGGGATTGGTTTTGGGGACGAACCTGAGACGGAGATGAAGTTGAGTATTGGAAAACGACCATAATACATGTACAAACGAACAGCCTGAGGGCTTGTTTAAAAAAACATGTCGGAGAACCCGCGAAGATTTTACCGTGATCGGACGTAGGATTGGATGTTCGAGAGCGCGCGAAAACTTGAATCGCTGTCAGCCAGTGATGACTGCCTTCGTTTGGCATTCTTGATTATTTTTCAAGATTCTTGTTTCGCTACTTCAACCGGTAAGCAATATCTTATTATCAGGAGGTTTTAAACTTTCCCCCTTTCTGGGCCGCCTTAGGCCGATTCCACCCCAAGATGGAAGATAAGATGGAATCAGACACCTCATGGGATCAATTATCACAATCTAATCAAAGGCTTATGGCAATCTTCAAGAGAATGATGACAGATCACGATCAACCCTAGATAAATTTAATGACTCAAGCCCAAAATGAAACACAGTCTCAACCTAAAAGCCGTAAACGACAGCACATAACATACAGTGACGTCTACACAGATTCAGATAGGGACCCTCCACAAAACTCCCAACCTAAACGCCGTCTCATTCATAACTCAAACATCAAGAGTCAACCTACACTGGTCATCATTAACTCCCCTGATATCAAACTTGCTAAGGTTAGCCCGATTAAAATTGCCAAAGCCTTGAACATCCTAGGTCGCAACTTCGTAAAAAGCGTCACCAAAAAAAATCAAGGGGGCATTGAGGGGACATTACTGTTAGATGTCATACATCAGCCCAGGCCAAAAAAACTCAAAGCCTTGTCGGAACTTGATCAATGGACTATAACTACCGAATTTGCAAAATCAGAAACCCAGAGCAAAGGTGTAATAACTGTAATCCCCACTGACCTAGATGACAAAGAAATTCTAGAAGATTGCAAGAAATAAGGTATCCTAGAAGTCAAGCGTTTAATGCGCAGAGAAGATGGTAAATTGAAGAAAATTCTGTCTGTTTGCCTAACGTTTAACACTCCCACCCTCCCTGAAACCTTCCAACTAGGATATGAAAACTTCAGATTCAAGCCTTTCATCCCACCCGTCATCCGTTGCTTTAACTGCCAACGACTTGGTCATGTGGCTAATAACTGTCGTAGCGCTACTAGGTGTGTTCGTTGTGGCGGCTCTCACTCATACGAACACTGCACACAGAAGGATGAAGTTAAATGCTGCAGATGTGGGGAGCAACATTCATCTGCATATGCAGGGTGCAATACTATGAAACAAGAAAGACGCATCCAGAACATCAAAGTTTCATACAATGTATCATATGCAGACGCAGCAAAGGCTATCAAAACAGACATCTCAATAAACCCAAACGCATCATCCACCCAATCTACTCCTGCAAAACAAACAATGGCGACCCCTGAGGCAAAACCCACAAGTCGTGACACCCAAATAGAACAAAAACTAAGATCAACAGACCTACTCAACCTGGAACTACTCTCCCCTCGAAAAAAAAAAGGATGCCACTACCCAAACTGAACAGGCAACTGCAACACAAACTGAATCCACGCATCAGTGCCTTTGTAGCGCAGTCAATATCCCAGAACTACTCACCGGAGTAATGCAAATAATGGATACCTTCAAGAACAAAGATGAGGGAGTAGCTGCAACTAAATCTCTTATCGACCATCTTCGTCCCGAACCTGAAGAAATCTCGCTGACGCAGATCAACCCAACAGACTCCATCCAGCCCGAAGAAAACAGATGCATCGAAATCTCATCAAACAAAAACAGGAACACACTCATCTAACCAGTCAAACGCAAGCCAACCCCCTAAAAGTAGCATAAACGCAACATCATGAATGTTTACATTTTGATGACAGGTTTACTTATCTTACAATGGAATGCACAATCCCTTCTGGCTCACCAAGAGGAACTAAAAGAAATAATTTACTCTTGGCCTACGATCAAGAAACCAGACATTATTTGCGTCCAAGAAACTTGGTTGAAAGAGAATAAAAAAATTCAGATTAAGTGGCTACGATGTCTCTACCGCCATGACCGAAACAACTCAAACAAAAAAGTGGTGGTGGATGTGCTTTTGTTGTAAAACATGGAGTTGCTTTCAAGTACAAAACGGGTTCCAATATCCCTCTGGAGTTCCAAATGGATGAAATTTACGTTGACTGTAAAAATATAAATAACATCATCAATGCTTACAACCTTGCTCCACACTAGACTTCAACTCACTGAACCAAATCATTGGAAACACTGACAAGCCTTGCATAATTTGTGGCGACTTTAATGGTCAAAACCCACTATGGGGTAGCTCTAAACGTGATCATAATGGACAAATTATTGACGATATCATCTCTAACAACAACTTGGTCTGTTTTAACACTGGAGAAGGTACCAGAGTTAACTCATCACACATAGCCTCCAAATGCAAATGGCCATTCTAAATAACACGATGGGGAGTGATCACTGTCCAATCACTATTGAAATTAATCACCGTATTTATAAAAGCACTAACCACTCTACACCTCGGTGGTCACTTTAAAAAAAGCTGATTGGGGCAAATTCGCAAAAGAATGCAACTGTCTTATCAGTAAGCCAGACAGCACAGCCAGTATTGATACTATACATACGACAACTTCATTCATGAACTTGATTGGCTAGTTCTATACCTAAAACCAAACCTATTGTCTAGTTCTATATCTAAAACCAAACCTAGTCGCACAAATAAACCACCTACCACTTGGTGGAATCACGAATGTCAGAAAGTTATACAAAACAAAAAGGAGGCTTTAAAAAACTGAGAAAATCTAGTCTATATCCCATCTGATCTAATAAACTACAAAAGATCCTGTGCTATCGCTAAGAAAACCATCAAAGTTGGAAAAAGGAAAGACTGGGAACAATTTTGCAACGACCTTAAGCCGAGTAACCACGTGGGGTGCTGACTGCAAGACACTTTATCAGTTATACTCAGCTTTAATCAAACTAGTTCTTGAATTTGGATGTGAAGCTTTCAACTCCGCTTCCACTACCATGAAA